AAGTCATAATTGGATACATTTATGTATCTAAGATTTTCTAAATTTAAATGCTTTCAATAGTAAAATATATATTATTATCTCATAATTAAAATTATATGGACAAAGCATCTTTAAAGAAGAAATGATTGAAAAAATTCTCTCTACATTTCTTCTTGTATCTGTTGTGCTTACACAACAATATAGGAACATGAAATTTTAGAGTTATTTTGATCTCATATCCTATCTACTTCTTGTAGAGAAGCAAAATGAGCTACTCTTGTGTAATATAGAAGCTTGTCCTATTTGAACCATAGTTCCAGAATCTCATCCATTTAATATTTCAAAGTCTAAGAAAAAATTATATAAACATGAGAAAGGTGCTCATAAGCATCAGGGTAGTCATAGTCATGACTATTTCTATCCATATAGAAAGAATAAATATTCTAATATTAATTACAGTAGGAAATAAAAATCAAAGATGTGTTCTTGCCATAAATGTAGAATGATTAGATATTTAGCACATGCATGCCGTACTTCAAAAAAAAATATTAAAATATTCCAAAAAAATAAGAAACTATGAGTTGAGGCTTGTAAAGTTCATACCATAGATGCGTCCATGGATTCAATTGGTGTTGATGATTTAGAAGCTTATATGAATGACAAAACCTCTATTGATGAATCAAATGATGCGCTCATTGATTTTACAATAACACATGTTATCCTAGAGGATAGGTGATTTTTTTCTTAAAAAATCTTCAACTTAACAAACTAAAAATATGATGACCATGGTTGGAGCAAATGTGTTTTATTTCTAAGATGGAACAACGATGGTAAAATTACCTACGAGTTCCATCATAAAATGTAAACATGCAATGTTTACACCCTCAATACCTCGGAGTCTAATCAACTACTAAGATGTACATATCAATGATTATCACTTCTTGATCGCCATTTTAAATAGAAAAGAGGTTTTGGTTCTTACAAAGAACTATAAAGCTGTTGAAAAAACTTTTACTACAGAAAATGGTTTACACCAAATTACGATTTGGCCTTCCATTATATTTAATTTTACATCATCTATTACAAAGAGTCGTGCTTCTCTCTGGCATTGAAGATTGGGACATCTAAGATCTATATTATTTAGAAAGATCATTTTATATATAATTAGACACAATTTAAAGCATCCAGATATAGACTCTATAGAATTATGTCATGGATGCATGTAAGGCAAGATAATTACTTTGCTTTCAATTTGAAAACTCCCACAAGAATTACCACTAATGCTTAAAAGATTGCATGGTGATATTTGTGATCCTACTAATCCAATATCAAGTCCATTACATTATTTTTTGGACCTTGATGATGCATCAAATAAACAATCACATATACCATTATTATCAATCTAAAATATGGTGTTTGCCAATCTTATATTTATGCTTATTCATTTTTGGGTACATTTTCTTGATTATCCTATAAAAACATTGCATATGGATAATACAAAAGAATTTGCATCAAAGTCTTTTGAAGACTATGATACTGCAATAGAAATTGAGTTGACATATTGTGTTTTATATGAATATGCTCAAAATTGACTTGTAGAGTCATTTATAAAGCGTGTATAATTAATTATTCGACCACTCCTCTTTTAAGCAAATTTACCTGCATCTATGTAGGATCATGCACTTTTACATGTTGCAACATTAATATGCTTCCATCCTCCTCTTGAAATTGTTTCACCATATGACCTCATTTCGGGTCATATTCTAAATGTATCTCACTTATGAGTATTTGGTTGCCATACTTGGGTTCCAATATCAAAACCTCAATGGTGTACTATTGAAACTCATTGACAAGAAAGTATATATGTTGGTTTTAATTCACCAAGTATTATTCGTATTGTTGATCCATCAACTAGCACATTATTATGTACATGTTTGTAAAATTTTTATTTTGAAGAAAATATATTCCTATCTCTTCAAAAAAGAATATTCAATCAACAAAGAAATAAAGTACTTGTATTTGAAGTGTCAAAAATGTTTATAATGAATCTCGATCCTAGGACATCTTTGGTTGAAACTGAAGTTGGTAAGATTTTGCATCTAAAACGGATTGCATATAAAATACCTGATGGCTTCAATGATATACCTAGAATTACCAGAGTTTGTATTAATGAAGCTCAGAATGCAACTCCTCAAATTACAGTGCCACTGACTACAATACCTTAAGTTATAACAACAACAACTAAAAGAACTCGTGGATCAAATGAGCAATCACGTAAGAAGAAAGCTATAATATTAACTAATCTTGGTATTATTTCTCAAGAAATTCCTACTCATCTTACAGGACCATCAATTCATGATGATATATCTATGGATAATATACCTTTAATTCCTATGAAAAACAATCTTAAAATTGGAAGGAATAAGATCAAGTTTAGTAAAGAATTATCTATTCTATATTGTGCCTTAGATGATATTTGAGATAGACCATCTATTATGATAAATAAATCATTTATATGTATGATTATAGAAGCCCTTTCTTATGAGAAAGACGATCCTAAACCTCAAACCATGGAAGAAGCAATGTGTCGCTTTGATTGATCAAAATAAAAAACTACTATTGAAGAAGAATATGTCTCTTTGTGTAAGAGAAAAGTCTTAGGTCCAATTATAGACATTCTTATATCTCACCCTATGGGATATAAGATGGTATTAATATACAAATGAGATGCTCAGGGTCAAATAACCCCCTATAAAGCTCGTCTTGTTGTCCAAGGATTTACTCAATGATTTGGCATTGATTATGAATCCACATTTTTCAGTCATGGATTCAATGATATTTTGATATATTATTAGAATGGCAATTCATGCCACCGTTGAAATGCATTTGATGGATGTGGTAATTGCATATCTGTATGGTTCTCTTGATGTAAATATTTATATGAAAGTTCCACTTGGCTTGAAAACAAGAACTCCAAATGGACCTACTCCAAGACGATATCATGGTATTAAATTATATAAGACCTTATATGATTCAAAACAAACTGGATGCATGTAGTATCATCTTTGAGATTATTTAATTATACATAAGTTTGTAAGTGATCCATTAATCCCTTGTTTGTTTATCAAATGAGATAAATTTATTTTGTGATCATCGCTATATATATTGATGATCTTAACCTAGTGGGTACTAAGTTTGTATACATTACAGCTACTAACCTACTTATTCATGAATTTGAGATGAAAATGCAAGGAAAAATAACTTTCTGCATTGGACTTCAGATAATGCATCTCATAAATGGTAGCATTTTTTTCTACCAACTAACATATATTAGAAAAATCTTGTAGAGATTCAATATGATTGATGCTTATGTATTGCCAACACCAATGGTTGGATGTGGTCGTGATGGTAATGATTCATATTATCTAGGCGAGGAGGAGGAGAAAATATTGAGAGATCAATATCCATATCTTGTAGTGGTTGGAGCACTTTTATATTTGGCTACATCTACAAGACCAGATATTACATTTGTAGTTAGTGTTCTTATAAGACATAGTGCATGTCCAATACTATGACATTGAAATGGCATCAAATATTTATTATTTTATTTAAAAAAAATTGAAGACTTGGAATTATACTACACACAATCTGTAGATCCAAAATTGGTTGGATATTGTGATGCAAGATATAAATCTGATATTACAACAGCTAAATTTCAAATAGGATATGTATTTTTAAGACATTGAGCTACAATATCATGAAAATCAGTGAAATAAACTATAACTATAACTTCATCCAACCATACAAAAATTATTACCTTACATGAAGCATCTCGAGAATGTATTTGGTTGCCATTAATTAATAAATTCATTTAAACAACCTATAGATTTTGATATGATGATTCTCCAACTATCTTGTATGAAGAGAATAGTGCTTGTATTACACAGATACAGGTTGGTTTCATTAAAAGTAACATGACAAAGCATATTGATGCAAAGTATTTTAATTATATCCATGACTTGATTACTAATCAAGCACTTATAATTAAGAAAATTGAATCTACAAATAACCTTATTGATCTCTTTACCAAAGCTCTTCTATTGTGTAACCATCGCCAACTTACTTGTGACATTAGTATGTGGCAACTTACTTTTCTTCAATAAGAAAGTTAATGAATTCTTTAAATAATTAGGAAAAATAATATTGTACTCTTTTTCCTTCATCTATGGTTTTGTCTTTGAATACGATAAGGTTTTTATAGATAAGGTTTTAATGAGGCAAGAATTGTTGATCTTGCAAGATTACAAAAAAGTATAGATTATAATTCTATACAAATTTTATATTATGTAAATATTATGATGAGCGAGGAGGAGTGTTGAGAGCATTAAATGTAGCTGACGCTCTCCATAATATTTACTGTAGTCTATAGTAAGTAGTCTATAGTAAGTACTATAGCTACAGTACTTGAAATATAGTAGAGACGAACTGTTTATCCTCGTCCTTTCTCCTCTTGTATACAAGACACAACTAGATCAATAGACTTTTGTGTGAAGCTCTCTCTCTCCTTAGAAACTCTCTTGTGTGTATATTACTTACTACTACTCTTGTATCTTTCTAAACATTCTCAACAATTCAATAGTTTTTCACCTTCCGGAGCAAATATTCTATTTTATTTTAGCCAGGAAACCTTACCTCTTCACTTCACTCGGGTCTTCTACCTCAACGCCATGCTCTTTATTACTTTCATTCGGAGATATATATATATATATATATCCTCTTCCTTTGGCCACTTGAGTTGGGAGGCTTTCATACCAGAAATTGAGTTGGGAGGCTTTCACAAAGTTGGCGAGGGTATCGTCTGCCATACTGACCAATTCTCCTGTTCTCCCCGAGATCCGGATCTGTGAACAAGTTATATAATTGAACTCGCGATTATCTTTTCATCACATTTCTTACATCCAAAGGTTCATTAACATTTAAAGGAAAAGAGCATGTGCTAATATGCGGTGTGGTTCCAACTTCTCAGGAATCCTGGTGCTCTAGTTGGCTGAAGCGGAGTGCAATGGCAGGGATGGATTTTGTGAACACCCTATTGTACTTGATCCCCCAGTATACGGGCTTATCAGCGAATACTTTCATCAAGATCATTGCGGTGGTGCTTGGTGTTTTCTACCTGATATTAGTTCACTTCGCACCAGCACTTGCCAAGTATGTCTCATTGGAGCCATGCCTCCTGCTTGCTGAATGTACATTGTTGAATTAGTAAGCACAAGTGAAAGAAGTAATTGCATGGTGAATCAGAGCAAGTGATAGTTGTTCACTAACTGAAGATATAATATTTGCAATGGAACAATTTTACACATTTATATCTTGTTCTAGAGAAGCTGAGGTACTTGACGCTTATGAGGCGGATTAGGTTACGATTGTGACGAACCTTGTTCATGAGGATGGCAAACCTGTCTCATCGCTAGCAAGTTTGAATTTTCATTTTCATTTACATTTTTATCCAAGGATAGGTTTTATAATTGAACCCACAATTGTCTTTTTCATCACATTTCTTACGTCCAAAGGTTCATTAACATTTAAAGGGGAATTGCATGTGCTAACATGCGGTGTGATTCGAACTTCTCAGGAATCCTGACTGCTCTAGCTGGCTCGAGCAGAGTACAATGGCAGGGATGGGACACCCAGACTATGACATCAAGGATGTCAAAGAAACAAAGGACGTTGTGGAGAATGGAGATTCGAATTTCGTTGTTGCGAAGGACCGAATCGAATTTACATCGAAATTATCGGTCATTTGGTTTATATCGTTTGATATCAATATTTTTGTTCATCCCCAATTGAATTGCTAGGTTTTAATAAGTTAAAAGACCTCATTCTACAAATGACCTGAATTTGAGAATTTTAACTGGGTTAACTGTTGTCATTCCTTTGATTGTGAGTACTTAAACTTCCTGAACAATCTTCTTTTCCTGCTGTCTGAGGAATAGCATTGTGTGTGCTTGTGTTGCATTCTACAGAAGTATAGACTTTTTGTATCTAGCCACGAGTCTTGAATTCTAGAACAAGTGAAGACTATGATTTCTCACTTTATACTATGTCACTGTCCTCGTTACTGTTTTTTCAAAAGAGAGTTGATTATGAAGAAAGGATTATACTATTTTGTCTTGAATTTTTATACGAAGCGGCTGTAACTGTAAGGAATTGTTGTTAATTATCGTACCAAGTTGAGAATGTTTCTAAGGATAGTCATATCTTATGTAGGATGACCCACAAAATCCACCAGACATTTTGAAAGGTTTGCGCAACCCTGCCGAGTTGGTCATTTTCTAGCCGATTGACGAACCCAATTTTGATTCGTCATTTCAACAAGAAAGCTCTGAAGAGAAACCTAAGGTATAGACGGCGTAAAAGTAGTGGACGGGAGTACAAGAAGAGAACCAAACATTATTTCTCATCAAGCGCCGCATTTGGATATTACAGTGTCCTATGAAACGGATAGACAAATGAAAAAAGACGGGGAGTACTCAAACAAACGCAGTAAAGAAAAGGGCTCCATTATGGTCGCATGACCGTAGGCATTCTCATCCGTGAGAAGGGATCACAGATTCGTGGTCCACAGGAGCATGAAGAGGCAGATCCTAACCTGCATACTGTAATTCTCTCCAAGGACACCGAGCTGCGTGATGACCAGAATGAGTTTGTGGAATGCCTGAATAAAGCACTCCCTCCAAAAGCAGAAGGAAATAAGGAACGAAAGGTACCCCTTGTACTCACGCCTCGATTCGAACTATGCAAGCTTGATCTGTGAATTTTTTGAAATCTTCCCTGTTACTCAGAGATTTTTTTTGTTAGATTGGATGCTTAGAAATCAAGCATGCGTAGATGCATAAAAATTAATCACTATGAACAGATAGTACCTGAGAATCATCACATTGCACAAAATTTTAATCAGTGCAATATTCATGCATTACTTTGATCCCTTCAGTGAAGGTTCTTACTGAATTTGGCAGTCAGCTTGTGAATGTTCGAAATTTAGTTATGTTACTTACCAGCTGAACTCTTACTATCTTTAAATTCAGGGTTTCTGTATGTAAGGCAGTAATTTGCCCCCTTATTTGTGGGTGGAGCATTAGCATTGGTGAATGCTCCACCAAATCCTAACAATTCAACACTCTTAGCTAAATCTTGAAATGCCCATTGTGTTCTCAATTTTGGTTGCACGAGGTTCATTTCAGTCTCATTGGATTCATAGTCTCTAGATCTATCCACACATGCAGCTTATGGAGGGAAACAAAGGGTTGCGGCAAAAGAAAAAAAATGATCATAAGCACAACATGAACTTGAATGCTTACGACTGATTGAGAGTTAGATAGCAACCTTTGTCACTTTGGAAAGGTGTCGAGGAGCTCTTCAATACTGAGTGGTTGTTTGTTCAATTTGAACACGTATTGAAGTAGATATGATCACATTTTGTTTTGAAAATGTTCTTTTGGTCAATGAAATCCGACTTTGGTAGTTACCACCACCCTAAAGGGTTCCTAAATGGAAATCTTGCGTTTATAGATATTAGCCGGCTAAATGTCATGGATGTCTTTTCATATGAATATTCTCTCATAGTAGGGTTTATCATTGGAATTCTTGTCAATGCTGCTGTAGTTATTGGTTGGAATGATTCTGAAGCTACAGTGCATCATGTAGGAAAATGTATGAAGAAAGTATGACCAATATATGTTTTATCTTGACTTTGTGTAGATTTCAGGGCATCCAGATGTCCATATTTTAGCACACAGCATGGGTAACCGAGGTCTCATTATGGCTTTAAAAAAGATGTCTTCTACACCATCGACATTGAAAAATGTAGTTTTTGCAGCAGCTGATGTTGAACGAAAAGATTTTGATGAAATGGTTCGCAAAGTAAAGATGGGGGACAGTCGAATTGATGATGCGCAACAGAATGGGAGAGAGAAGCTAAGCGCACGCGCACCACTGTTGACAGTGTACTCATCGATGACTGATCAGGCGTTGTGGGCATCGAAGTATGTTAATTGGTCGAAGGGAAGGTTGGGGGACACTAGTTTTCTGCACATGGAGACACAGGAGAAGGGCTCAGATCAGGTTGACGTAACTGGGAGTAAGGTCACTAAGGCATGGCTACATCACTCGTATCATGTTGAAAGTCCTGCGGTACTTGACGACATCGAAGTCTTAGGGAATCATGAATTGAATGTCGAGGAGAGATATCAACAGGGTAAGGGTAAACGGATCAAACTTGTGACAGCCCACGGCAAAAAGTTCTTCGCCTTCGATACAAACGTCTGGCAAGAGGAGCAACGATGTTCCTAGGATTGATTTGTTGTCATTGTAGGAATCACGATAGGAGTTGGCCAACACAACGATTTGATAGCAAGCCCACAACGAGAAATATCATGGCATACTTGAATCTATTCAGAAGGCATCCAAAACTGGATTGTTTTTTTCCTTCCAAACTCAATGAATTGTGAAGCAGTATTTCAAGGATTGTTTTACTCAAAGAATGCATAGAGAATGTTTCCAAACATAAACAAATCAGCCTATGAGCACAAACTATAACCTAGATTTCATGCCACCAGCAACAACTATAGTCTCCCCTGTGATATAAGATGAATCATCAGAAGCTAAGAAGGCCGCTGTAGCTGCCATATCACCTACTGTTCCCAACCTCCTCAAAAGAGTTCGAGACTCAATCTCGGTCCGCTGAAAAAGAACATCGCAAAAAAGCCAACATACCCATGCACTTATGAGAGCAAGCCAAACATGGAAGTAGGTGCAGAATCTAAATGACATCAAGGAGCATGTCACTAGAGCTAGCTCATGTGCCTGAATAAGACTCTAGTCATATACAAATTTCTGAGCATCTAGCAGAAAATCTTTTAAAATACTAAACGCAAAAGTACTACACGAAATCAGTTGAGCAGCTTACAGCTTCTTCATTGCGAACGAGAAAATCTGCGAAGTGTGTCGGCACAAATCCAGGTGCAATTGCATTTACTCGAGTCCTAGGCGCCAATTCCTCTGCGAGAGCCTGTTCAATGTCACGATCCCTTGTGTCATTGTCTGAGCAAGGGAATCAAGTATTTTTCTTCTCTTTAGCCACTACAAATTTTTGAACAGGCAATTCAGGTTAACAAGCAACTCTTCGATGTAAGAAGCCTATTTGACTGACGTTTTTGTTTGTATGAATGCGAGTTTTTTACCTTTGTCAAACCAAGAAGAGCTGTCTTCATGACCCCATACATGGCTAAAGATGATGTCGGATCGTATGCCGCAATGGATGATATGAACATAACTGAGGAATTCTCCGAAAGGTGTGGCGCTGCTGCCTGAGTAAGATTGGCAAGGAAATAGCAGTTTAGGTGCCAAAGGTCCAAATATATTTTATACACCTGAATGTAAGTCTGCATGCAATTTCAGCTAGATCTGCAAGGGGAAGTACGTATCAAACTGCACAAGAAACAGTGCGAATTTGCCGATGAGGGGAAAGTATCAGAACAGGCAACCAACGAGCAGTAGATATTCAGTCCTATCCCTTGAACAACTTCAGGAACTTCAAGTGTTAGTGTGAACTAACATACCTGGACAACTTGAACAGAAGCCTTCAAGTTCACTTCCCAGAGCTTGTCAAGGGCTTTCTCTGACATAGACACGATTGGGTCGATAGAGGGATTTGCTGCCGCATTCGACACAACGATGTCGATGTGTCCATATTTCTGAAATCGTAAAACATCTGTAGTCAGCACAGAATGCTGAATCCTACTGACATTCCGCTCCTTCTAATCCACGACGCTCGAGAACAAACTCACAAAACTCGAGAAGGCCATTTCCGAGATCACTCCATGAGTTACAGAAATCCGAGAAAATCTAGCTTAAATGCAGCAAGACAGAGAGTAGTGACAACACAAAATCGTACATATTCTGTGTTTATTAAAGCAATGCGTAAAATTACCTCAACAGTGCTCTCCATGAGTCTCTTCCTGTGATCAGCCAAGGACACATGACACTCCAAGCCCATGGCTTCTATGCCCTTCGATTTCAGCTTCATCACCGCCTCATCCACATTTTTCTGAAAGACACCTACAATGAGGCTCCAGAGAGAAGAAGCAAAAACAAAACAAAAAAAACACGAAACCAAGACCCAAAAATCATAAGTGAAAATACAATTCACATGAACGGTCATGTTGTGAGACACATCTACAACAAGCACTGGCTGCATGGGCATAACCCATCATAAAAGACAATACCAGAGACGGAAGTCCAAAAAACACAAGAAACGTACGACAACAGTAACCATGCGGTTCACTCGATCCCTGCAATCTTCAGCCATTCAGCTAAGTTACTTTCATGGCGATCACGATCTTCGACTAGCATCCACTGACGCACGAATCAGACACGAAATTAACAGAAACTGACCTGCTTCCGCGATGAAATCACGACGGACGCCCCTTCCAAACCAAGGCGCTCCGCGATGCCGAAACCGATTCCTTGCGTCGAAGCGGTGATCACTGCAACCTTGCCCTCGAGTCTTCGTGGAGTGGAACCCATCCTCCTCGCCCCTCGCTTACCCACAAAAAAATTCCCCTCCTCAGAAACCAACTCCGTAACCCTGCTTCTCAACCTATTCGCCGAATGTTTGGTTAAGCCAAGTTGTAGCTCGGAGAAGAATAAAAGCAATGCCTCTAAGCATGCACATACATGCTCGGTGAAACAGCCTGCCCTGAAGGTGGATATGGCGTGGCCCCTAGCGAGGACGACAGAGTTCCCAATCCACGTTCCCCATCACCGTTCCCAGCGGTCATTCCCACCGAACGTGACATGGGTCCTTCGTGCCCAAGCTACTTCCATGGCATTTCAGTCCTTACAAATTGATCACACTTCTCCAAAGTCTACATCCTTCAATATCTACTTTTCCCATTGTCTTCCAACACGGTCATTCAGAATCCATTCCTGTACTACGCACTGGGGAAGATGAAGAGCTAAAATTTGTATTTATTCAAATGAGAAGTTTAGATAGGTCCAAAACATTTCAATATATTTGCATATGTTGGAAGCCTAAGGATAATAAGAGTAAAAGATATCTAAGAAACGGTAGCTTGATAGTGAAGATAACTTTAGAAAACATATTTAGTTATATCGTTTGGAGGACATGCCTCAAAACAATACAACTAAACATGGTCAATAAATGCATTAGGAATTCTAAGTGTTTTGTTGCTACATGGGTCTAAATCCATGATTTCTTAGTTGCAAAGAATGTCTTTTGTTATGCAAACAAGCTCTTGAATACATATTAGTCTTATTGAATGTATATGTACTTTATTTAAAGATTTTTTTGTCTAATTGTGAGTCACTGAATTGAATCACTTGGATATTTAGTATAAAAAAAATACCCTTATTGTGCTTAAAATCATAGATTTTGTGAGTTAGCAGTAGAATTTTTAGAAGAAATAGAAAATAGATTGCTTATAGCAGATATGTAGCAAAGGATAGAATTTGTTAAGACAAATTTCCATAGTAGATATGTTTTTGGTATCTAACATTAGATGATGGTCTAACAGAAATAGCCCTTGTTGTCAAAAGGAAAAAGAAAATTTTACTTTATTAATAGTTCTTAAAACATATGTAGATAAATAATAAATAATAATAAAAAATAATAATAATAATAAATAATAAAAATAAATTAAAATACTTAAAATAAAATAAAATAAAAATATAAAAAGATCAAAAGAACAGAAATAAGAATAGAGAAGAGAGAAAGAAAGCAGGACAGAAGAAGAAAAGAAGGAAAAAGAAAAGAAAAAGAAAGAAAATAAAAGAAAATAAAAGATGATCTAGAAGGCAAGAGATTGCCCCTGAATGGCGGTAACCTCCCCGTCAATAGGGGTCCGAGCCGCCTCGGATCCTTCTCTCATCATTTTTTTGTTATTTTGGTTGCGGGAGTTTTGAGCTCCGATCGCTTTGGATTTTTCTTCAGCATTTTTTTTTTTTTTTTTTTTTTTTTTTTTAAATGTGAATTGTATGTGTGGTGCTTGGCTTAAGGTTGTGGCAGCGTTGCAAGTTTTTGCTCGGTTGGACTGCTGCGGTGCAGCATTTCCCTACGTTCTTGTTCCTGGTTCTACCTTTGTGTGTACCTGCAGCAAGTGGGGCTTTGGGGTGGATCTTTTGGTTTTTTTTGTTTTTGTGTTTGTATCCACGGATGTGACTATGATTTTTTTATGCCCACAACGGTTGCACTTGAGTTGTGGGCTGTGCTTCCTCGTTGAGTGTTGCTGCGTGGTGCGGAGGTGTGGTGCAGCAACTCGTTTACGTCCCCTCGAAGCTGCGATGATGACGATCCCAAGTTGTCGACGTCGTTGAACGTGCTATCTCAACTGTTCCCTCCTTTTGTTTTGATTTCGATTTTTTTTTTTTTTTTTTAATTCCGCAGGTGCGGCGGTGTCGCAAGTGTTTTGGTGCGGTGGATCGGCAGAGGGCCATTCAAGGCTCCTCATGTGTGCTTTGCATATTGTACTGGAGGCTGTGGTGCAGTGGTGGCGTCGGGAGTTTTTCCTTTGTTGTGGTGCAACGGAACGGTTGTGGGAGAGTACCCAGTGACAACAATCCGGATCTGTTTGGATTGGGTCTTTTGTTCTGTTTTTTTCCTTCTGTGCAATTCTTTGCTCCGATTCCACCAGAGTGGCTCCCTTCCCTTATGTTTTTTCATGTGCCTCAATGAGGTATGACAAAGCAGTGTGGTGGGAGGCGACTGAAGGTTCTCTTTTGCAACATCACTCTCGGATTTGGTAATTCCTTGTCGTTGAGGCGGTTGCTTGGCGGTGTTGAGCGATGGTTGATCCATGTTGTAGTGCAGTGATTTGAATTCCTAGTGCGAGGCTACGTTTTGTTGCACCACTATTGTAGCAAAGCCCGTAGTCGCCAATTTGTTTTTCGGAAGTTGCAGATCAAGCAAGTTTCAGCGCGGCGACCTGTGGAGCTGTCGTCCTCGACCTTAGATTTGTAGACGTGTGGGTTGTTGAATTTGAGGTAGAGCGGTTACTCCCTACTGTCCATGCGGTATTGGAGAGCTGGATTGAATGCGCAGCCGCAAGGATTGTCGATGTGGACATGATTTCGCGGCTACTAGGACATGTTGCATCGATTCCGTGCACGGATGTTCAAACTCGGCTGTTTATCAATGCTATTGAGGAACCAAACCTAACAATACAAGGAGAACAAAGCCTTGTGCAGAGTATTTTTGGTGGCACAAGATCAGCGTTGTGGATGGTGGTTCGCAAGATTGAGCATGCGGCAAGCAAGGACTGAGTAGTGGCTCCAAAATTTTTGGGGATCTTGTTAGGGCGACAACAGCGATCCTTGTGTTGTTTGAAAACCTTAGCATGCATAATTCTAGCTGGACTATGGACGTGCTCATTGGAATAGTGTCAAATTTACAAGCTACAGAAGTTGGAGCGTAAACTCTAAATTCAACAAATCGAGCACACTCACTCTGTGCGTCGATCCATCATGGAGTCGTGAATGAAAGAAAATCCGTGGTTCGTCTCAGCAACAAAATCAAGAAGCTTGGCAAAGCAGAAGTTCCTTCTCCCACAAAGCGACCAGTAACAACCACTCCGGCTTAGTGAGATTCTTCCAGGTGGATGACATTGCATTAAGTTGAATTATGGTACGATTGAAAGGAATTAGGTTAGAGGAAAGATTAGGTTAAAACGGATGATTGTTTTTTTGAAAAAAACCAATGAATGGGATGAACATTTGAATCAAAGATGAAATTTATAGTAGATGAGATTTAATTTAAGGATGAATTTAATATATGGATGAATTATCATTTATAGATGAATTATTATTCAAGGATGAAAATTGCCAATGGATGAATTTAAATCAAATATAATCTAAATAAGAAACAAAAAATAAAATAAAATAAATAAACATCATATTATTAAGTTCTTTTAATTGCATGGAATTGTGGATTGACTTATTATTATAAGAATGAGTTGTTATTAGAAAATTGCTTGATTGCATTGATGATTTAAGGAGATTTAAGGAGTTTTAAGGGAGCATTGATTAAGATTTAAATAAGAACAACAAATTCTAAGGTTTGAATAATTAATTCACTTATTATGAGCTAAAATTAACTTCCAACTAGTAGATGCTTATTTCAGCTCACAATAACTTCAATTTCTTTCACCAAATAATTTATAAGATGATTTTCATCTACAAGTAGAGTTTATAAATGTTTCTACAAAATTCCTTCTTACATTTATTATCAATTGAATTTATTATTATTTATCTTCACCATTATATTTATCTTTCTTTTTATTTTTTTTTATGATAAATTTATCTTTAATTTTTTAATTTATGGTATCTTATATCTTTCAAGTAAAATTTACTTTTATAATTTAATTTATTTTTTTTAATTTTATATAAATATTTTTTATATACTTTAATTTTTTATCATATAAATAAAGATTTCATATACAACAAATCAAGTATCAAAAACTATCTTTAATTATACAATTGAAAACCAAATAAGAGTGAATAATAAACACACCTTCATGGAAAAATAAAGTATCTAAATACCATTAATCAAGCTATCTTTTTATGCCTTAAAAGAAGAATCCAAGAGTGAATGTGTGTAGAAAAAACCTTAAACTTTATTCAATTGCTAAATCACAATATCCAAGTCAAATCCTACAAGAATTTTTTAAAAAAAAAAAAAAAACACTCATAAGATTTGATTTGACAAGAGTGTCACATCAATAGGATTTTTTTTAACTAAAACTTTCAAAACTTAATTGACACTAATAAGATCAACTAATATAAAATATTAAATAGATAGAAATACTTTGAGCTAAAATATATTATATGCATCTAACGTAGTTTGGCACTCTAGGCTACATCATGTGATAGTTGTTGTATAATTAAAGATTGTCATACACAATAGATTGAGTGCTAAAAACCAACATTAGATTTACAATCAAAAAACAAATAAGAATGCATAAAAAATAGAGTCACAAGTGGTCTTTTGATTAATTAGAAATCCTACTAATTAATTAAGACTATAACAGACATGTAATTAGAGATGAATGCCATAGTGATATTGGTACAAAAATTGTACATATCCAAGCTAAGATTGTGGTAATAAGACTACCAAAACATGTGGCCAACTTAGAAGAGGAAAAAAATTAATTCTTGTCAAGAAGTTTGATATGAATAAAAGACTTTCTACAATAATAAAAAAATCCAATATCTTGAAGAAAGAGTTGAAAGATGTGGTCCTAAGCATACCATATGCCATCCATATTGGTACTAGACATACAATAGCTTAGTAGCATTTCTTTTATTTTCACCACAAGAAAAATACATGCTTGTTAACTAAAGCAATAATCTATTGTAATCCATAGTACCATGAAGTTCCAATTATGATGGTTTCTATGAAGCAATCTATACTTTTGTATATCATGTTTGGTGGTATAAATAACTTATTTAGTCAAGCCATTAATCTTAGAATGATTCTTGGAAGAAGTGTAATAATTTATTAAAGATTTAGTACATAAAGCCTCAAAAGATCTAAAAAAATCCTTGCTTTGATCCATTAAGATTTCAATAGGTGCTCCAAAATGTGCTAATGCACAATCAAAAAAAGTCATAACTATTAAAATTAAAGAATTTTGTGGCAAAGCCACAAATTCAATCTACTAGCTAAAATACTCCATCAATATCAATATATATATGTAGTTTCACGTGGAGTGACAATAAATAGTCTAGTAAAGTTTAAAGACCAGTAATAGTCCAAATCTATACTGGATAAAGGCTTTAATTGACATAATAAATAATTAGAATTCAAGATGAATTAATTGCATACTTTACATCAAAAATATATGTAGCAACCTGCAAATACATACTAATCCACCAATATTAATTGTACAACATAGGATTTTTTTTTGTACATTCGAAAATATTCAAGCATTTTATGTATTTGTTGTAATAAAAAAGCTCTATGTGAACATAATTAAAAGCTCCAATAATTAGTTACAGTTTTTTTTGTAATTTTTAACATATTTTTACTAATTTTAATGCTAATATAACTAATTAATAGATTCAAATTAGTTTTTTTAGTGAATTATGACTTTGATCATATTTTTAGGTTGTTAATTAGATGGATACTTTTAATTAGTAGATTGATTGAAAATTTTAAAATTCAAAAGAAAAAATAGTAAATTTAGAAGGTCTATGATTTTTTTTCTTGAATTACTTTAAATCTTTTTTTAGTAATAAAATTATAATTTTAGTAGAATTTTTCTTCTGATTCTTAGGAATTACATCTTAAGTTAATCCACAATCTTAATTTTCAATCCAAAAGCTAATTTCTAATTTGACTATGGTTAGAAAGTCCCTTAAACCTAATTGTTCTATCTTCTTAATTAATTTTGAGATTTCTAAGCTTGATTTTTATTTTGTAATTTAATTAGAATAAAAATATAAAGTCTAATTGTTAAATTAATGATGATCTTAAAAAGTTGGAGACAAGCTAAATTTTTGGTGGAGTTTCCTCTCATAGTGATTTTAATCACTACTTGAAGTTGAAAAAAAAGAAAAATTGAATAAAATCACAAATTCAAGGTCAATTTGCAATTAGGTTTTGGATTTGCCAAGAGTTCATGCTTAAGGGAGTTTAAATTGAAGAATGGTGATTATGAAGGCTTTGATGGTAAGAACCCTTGCTGATTTCCATGTAAGGTAATTAGAATTAGAATTATAGTTAGAATTTACAACTAAATTAGCAAATTAATTGATTCTTATAATTTAGAACTCAGATTTGGACTTGTGAATAGATGATCTTGGGATGAAAATATGTTTTAGAGACATTGGTGGTTTTAGTTTCACCAAAAAGATGTTGGTTTTTGAATTCTAGGCATTTCTAGCCTTGAAATCGGATTTGGGCTGAGAGTTATTGAAGACCCTTGATCTTGGTTAGGAATTTTCCGATTTTGATGGTGGAGATGTATCCGCCACTTTTGGACCTCCTCCCACTTGGTTAAGAGGGCTTGGCTGACTGAGCTCTTTCTCTCTCACTCCATCTTCTTGTGGCAAAGCCATGGCAAAATGTTCTCCCATCTTGTGAATGCAAATCTTCTTCTTTAAACTTGTATAGCCTCAGTTTTAACTCGCTCAGTCTATCTCTTTTTATTTTCTATGTGTGAAAGTTTGTAAGAAGATTTTACTCACCCTTAGCTTTATAACAGCATAAAGCACGCCTGATTTGAAGTTGTGACGAATTTTTGGCGAGTTTTCAAGGTGGTAGGGGTCTACTACCTTGGCAGTGTAGGAGTGTCGGCTTAAAAAATCTATAACTCACTGACCTCTAACTTAACTTTGATGTGGATTGTTGCAATGAATGCACTCTAAAGCTTAATTTACTACAAAATTTAAATCACTAATTCTCAATCTATATTAAATTTTTAATGAATTTTTAAATGCAAAGGGATTTGTTGCCTCGGCAATGTTGAACAACCACCTTTGAAAAACTGTATCTTAATACTTACTTACATTGTTCTGCTGCCCTCAACTTGACATACTCTAAGTAAGTTTTTTTCTTCCCTAATCACCGTCTAATCACATCCCTTAGCACCTAAATTGTAATATTATCACTCATTTGTCTTATTACCATCAATTAATGTTATTTAATAATTTCAAAGAACTTTTATCTCACTTGGAAATTAATCTTAAATTCTTATCTTTCCCTCCATTTTTACCTTTAAGGATAAAATAAAAATTAAAAATTAAAAATTAAAAATAAAATAAAAATTAATCTAATCTTTTATTTTTTTCCTATTTCTTTTAACCTTAACATTTTAACTTTAACTTTTAACCTTCAAATTTTACTTTTTTTACTTTTAAACTTTAATTTAACTTTTAATTATTAATTCTAACTTAAATTTTAATTAATTTATTTTATTTCATTTTATTTATGTTAATTTTTTAATCTTCGAACTTTCATCTTTTCTTTAAAAAAATCTTAACATCATGTTAGTACTGAACTTAAATATTTAAGATTGTTTATTACTGAAATTCTAATTCTACATGAAGTTTTGGCATAAAAACTTCATCCGTAGATAACTTTCTATATAGAACTCCGATTTACATGATTAATACTACCTTGGAAAGCCTTAGACTAGTACTCTAGCATGGTATTCATTATTTTTATTTTATTTTATTCTAATTCATAATTTTCAGAGTTTAAGTTTGATAGAATAAGTCTTGAAAGGCACTTAACTAAATGAACTACAAATGCTAAAAATTAAATCATAAAAAGTGTAACTAACTTGTTGTGTTGTTGGATTAATCTTGATTATTACCTCATTTTGGTTTTCCTATCTCATAGATGATTTGCATCTCCATATTAATTAGTATTGGGCTCTTATGTAAGTTATGATCTGATTAAATCAAATTTAAGTGAGGGGAGAAAAATCCACTCACATTCTATAATCTAGCCTTTGAATTATGTATCTAATTTCAATAAAACATATACAAAATAAAAAATATATTCTTTTAATAAAATCTTTTTATTTATGATTAATCATATCTTGATGAAATGTTCTTTAATGAAACTTATATAAGACTATAAGGTCCTTCTATATATTACTAATCACTTAGATTTTATTTAATTCTTCATTTGACTATTAACTAAGTACTATAGATGTAGAGCTTATCATTAAAATAAAATTTTTTATTGAATATCATTCAAAAATTGCTACTATTTTGCAATCTATATACTATCTGATTCTAATTGAGTCC